GCACAAGCACAAATAGTGAATAATGACTAACAAATATCCGTCCCCTGTCGCGGTTCGACTCCGGCTGAGGGTGCTGTTAAGACCGATGCGAGGTCGAAACTGCAGTCCACCTCAGCCGGGATGAGAACAACTTTTGGGAAAGCAAAGCTATGTGAAATTCAATGGAAACGTCGGCTCAACTCATATCATTTGTGGGGAAATTCTACTTCTACCAGTCCTTCGTCAGCTTAAACGAATACATCTTATAACTGATTTACTGGTAGTCACGAAAAACAATACTCGTCGGTGTTTTTTAGGCAAAATTTCTACCATCACTATATTTTATTCGTGTCTATAGTGAGAAGATTGATTGTGACGATGAGGACACATCGTATTACAAAGCAATAAAATCCATTGCCTACATGCAAGTGAAGATAGGCCTTGGCATTTTAGACCTTGAATAAACAGAAAAATGGTTAGAAAATACCTGCTCGTCCCCCCTTTCAGCAAGCGATGAACTGACTGGAAAGAGGCAGATCTGTTAATTAGAAAGTGCATGTGCCAAGCAACGTCATCAGCTAAAGTACACGAAATCTACGGTAAAAGCGGCTTGATGGAATATTGCCAAATATGAAAAAAACACCTGCTGGAACAATTTTATTCTTTTTCAAGACAAAAACAATGAGCTTTTTAAGCTCTTTAATGCAGTTTTCGAGTAAAGATAACAATCTGGTAGACATAAAAAAGGGCTTTGCGGCAAGCAAGGCATTAAAAACGACGGTCGACCTGAGCGATTGCATCAAGCAAAAGGAACTGGCAGAAATCTCTTTCAAAATGGGGCACGCTTATTCCGGATAAGATGGCCAAATCTGCAATTAACCAAAAAGGTTGGTAGAGACAACCTTTCGACGATTAAAGGATGTAATCCAAGAGAAAATACGCCTTAGAAAGGAAGACAAAGACGCGACCTTCCAAAGCGTAAGAAGGCATTCGAAGACTTCCCAAGCCTGCGTACTTCGCATGTACGCAAGGATGGAAAACATGCGATGTTGAGCTCTCCCACGATCAACTGAATAGGCCTCAGGAGGCGTGCTGACGACGGGTGCGACGAAACGTCTCGAAAGCAGCGCCCCGATACGACTTCACCCAACAATCGGTGAAGCAGGCAGGAACAGAACTCGTCAGTCCAACGATAACGAGTCCCTTCGAGACGACTCCAACGACACAAATCCATGGCACATCTCCTCCAATCGAAAGGGTTAACTGGGCACAACGCAAAAGAGACACTTTCTGAGGCCAAAATGCGTGAGTAGACGAAAGTAAACCCAGCGGATGAATGGGAAAAATGAGTCCTAATGCGTGCCCAAAGCACAACACAACGACTGAAAACTGAATACGAGATGTATGTAGTAGAATTTTCCCATAATGCTATGAGTAGATCTGACGTTTCTGTGGAATGTGGTCGAGCGGTTAACGTGTCAGACTACCATTCTGCACTGTCACGGTTCGAGTCCCGCTGGGAGTGTTGATAAGACCAGTTGATGCGAGGTCGAAACTGCAGTCCACTGGTGCCGGGATGAGAACTTTTGGGAAAGCAAAGCTATGCGAAATTGAATGGAAACGTCAGCTCTACTCATATGATGGTGGGAAAATTCTTCTTCTACCAGTCCTTCATCACCTTAAACCAAATTGGGTGAATACAGTCTAGTCAAACACGAAAAATAATGAAAGCTACTTCAACATCAATCTATTCGGGTATTCTTCGAAAGCCAATTTTTCTACATACCCATAAAGTGAGTAGGGCTTACAAGTGTCAGCATATCGTACATAAGTCACCATTGTCAGCTCAACTCATAACATTGTGGGGAAATTCTACTACCAGTCTTTCATCACCTCAAACGAAAGTGGGTGAAGACATCTCATACTACTGATTTACTGATAGTCTCAAAACTCAACTCAAGTACGCAAAATGAAAACAGAATGTCATGGTATGCCATCGTGAAGACCGGTACAGGCGAGAAAGCCGAGTCATGATGATAGGTCCAAATGGATGCGGGAATCACAGACAAAAGACACACTGCTCCGGCATCACTGCCGCCCATCATCACGTATCAAGACAATCACGCCAGCAAGCAACAGAATTAGGCCTTCTTTTCCCCTAAAGTTGGCAAACTTAAATCCAAATAAGCGTTGAATGCATAGAAAAGTAGAACTTGGGTTTGTGTGATGCCCGAGATGAAAAAAAAGAGGGTGAACTGCAAATGATGCTTCGCATGCACCAACTGGAACCCCTCGCCAGACGGTCCGAGTTTACGCCCAAAACTGAGCATGAAGAGGGCTGGCCCATTCTTTATATTCGTCGCCTTTTGCGTTCAGGAATGCAAAACTTTAGCGGGTCCGTTGAACCTGAATGCCTTTTTAAGGAACTCCGAGTTCCCGAGCACAACGACCCACACACCAAAACCAGCCGGCGGTCTCCAATACAGTCTTTGCGCATTACAAGATAGTCTTCTGCTCGCGCGTCCCAACAACCCAACGTTTTCGCCCATCCAAAGTCACGAAGACAAAACAAGTGTGCCCCGGCAACGGGCACGAAACGATGTGACATCAGTGAAAGAAGAGCAATGGGAAGAGCGACAGGCATGACGAAACAGTTGTACATTTATGCAGGTCATGTAGGCTAGAAAAATATGGGAACGAGCTTCTGGTTAGGGTCCCATAGGGCTAGTTGTTATGGTTATAATTGTGATCGTTGTGGTTACTACTGAAAGGTGAGGCTGAAGTTGAGGCCGAAGAGGCAGCGTGAGAGGCAGCAAAACTACTCGGCCAGATGAGAATAAGGCCAAACAGCACAAAACGACGGTAGCAGAGAATTGGAGCAAAATAAGTGCACTTAGTTACCAGAATCGGTGGCTCTTGGTCCCGCGGAGAAGTGTGCTCTCTTAGACATCTCCGATGCATACCCAAAGAAGGCCAAGAGAAGGCATCGGCGAGACATGGCCGCAGGAGCAAACTCGCGAAAAAACGGGCGAAAATAGGTACATCGACAGGTGAGAATGGTGAAAAATAGCAGAACCAAACGGTAGTCATGACAATGGAAAAGAGAGTTGGAATGAAAAAGTAAAGTGAAATA